CGGGCACAGCCGGGACGGCTGGCCCCAACCGGCCGCGGTGTTCCCGTACCCTGCGGCGTCACGCTCGGTACATAAACCGCGGGGAGCTGGCCCGGGGGTAGCGATCGCTGCTCGGGGACCGGCTGGGGATCGGTAAGCAGGTGGTGAGCAATTGCATTGTGCATCACTTGTTTTGTGTATTATTATCATTATTTTCTCTTCCTCTGCTGTCCTATTAAACTGTCTTTATCTCAACCCATGGGTTTCACTTTTTTTCACCAGTGGGGTGTTCAGCCTGGAGAAGAGGAGGCTGAGGGGAGACCTGATCGCTCTCTGCAGCTCCTGACAGGAGGGGGTAGTGAGGTGGGGGTTGGTCTCTTCTCCCAAGTACATAACAATAGGACAAGAGGACATGGGCTCAGGCTGCACCAGGGGAGGTTTAGGTTGGATATTAGGAAAAATTTCTTCTCGGAAAGGGTGGTCAAGCATTGGAACAGGCTGCCCAGAGAGGTGGGGGAGTCCCCATCCCTGGAAGTGTTCAAAAAACGGGCAGAGGTGGCACTTTGGGACATGGTTTAGTGGGCATGGGGGTGTTGGGTGGATGGTTGGACTGATGATCTTAGAGGTCCTTTCCAATCTTAATGATTTCTAGTTTTTACTTTCATTATAAATAATCCAGCCACCAAGCCAGGAAACATGAAATTGCTACTGTACCCTTAATTGCTTTAGTGGTGGACTTGGTAGTGTAGGTTAATGGTTGGACTGGATGATCTTAAAGGTCTTTTCCAACCTAAATGATTCTATGGTTCTATGATTCTCATCATCATCATTATTACTACTACTACTTTACTTTATTTCAATTATTAAACTGTCTCTATCTGAACCCGCAAGTTCTCTCACTTTTACCCTTCTGATTCTCTCCTCCGTCCCACTGGGGCACGGGGAGTGAGCGAGCGGCTGCGTGGGGCTTAGCTGCCAGCTGGGGTTAAACCACGACACACGCATTTTCACCTTCAGCCCAGGAAAAGCAGCAGTAGGGAAGAAACTCATAACTACAATCTCTGAGGAGAGTAAAGGCAGCCATTTCGTACATCTCTGCTGCATCAAAAAGCAGGGTATTTGTGTTTTTCAGGGATTCAAACTGATCCAGACATTTACAGAGTCTGCATCTACAGCAATCTATTTCCTAACAAGTTCTGATTACACAAGAACTCATTAGAAAAGTTATGTTTCTCTTGGTGAACGGCAGTGCTGGGATACTGCCTGCTGGAGCGTCTCTGACTCAAAAACTAATTTAAGTTCTTCACAACTCTCAAAGGCCTCAGAGAGAAGCAGCTTATTCGCAGCGTGATGCAAGACATAAAAACACTTCTGTGGAAGAAAACAGGATCTCAACAGAAAACACAAGCATTGTTGTCAGACGTGCAGCCAAAGACAGAGGTAAAGCGATGTGAACTCTGCAGCGGGAATGCATGTGAGGTTCATTTAAGCACACACATCTGGCTAAATGGAAAACTATACGGTGTTTTGGGTTTGCCCGTTATCCAGGACTGACCTTCACAGGCACAACTGCGACTACCTAAAATATGACTTAATTATTTTGACTTTTTACACTGTTTCTTATACTTCAGCAGACACTGAGCATAGAGGAAACCTCGAAGAGCCAGAGAGGTTTCTAGGTATGTTTATTAGACCAGGAATG